TCAAGCACCTCACTTTTCTGCTTGATCAAATATGTCCAAGCTTTCCTGGTCAAATCATCTATGAAAAGGACAAAATACCTATTTCCTCCTAGGGTTTTTATCTGCATAGGTCCACATACATCAGAGTATACTACTTCCAGTTTCTTGATCATCTTTTGTGGTATCACTTTCTGAAAACTCCCTATTGTCTGCTTGCATTGAATGCACTCCTTGCATATTGTTTAAGGGACATTGATCAGCAGAAGCCCTTGTACCATTGAACTCTTGCTCAAGTAAGACAAATCTCTAAAATTCAGATGGCCCAAGCGCATGTGCCACAACCACTCAGTTTTCTCCACAGAGAGAGAAAAACATTGATGACTCAGCCTTTATCACCACACTAAATGTTCTGTTTTTGGAAAACATAGCCTGTATGGTTAGTTTCCTATTTTGGTAAAATATACTAAGGCAATTATCTTCCATTTGCATTATAAAACCTTTTTGTAAAAGTTGACCAAGACTAAGTAAATTAGTCTTTAAACTTGGAACATACAGAACCTCTTCAATGATCACTTCCTTGTCACCCTCATCACACAAAACCACTCTACCAGATCCCTCTGCTATAAGACTTATGTTATCAACAAATTTAATTTTTCCATGCACAACTTCCTTCATTTTTACAAACCATTCCCTCCTACCAATCATGTGTGTAGAGCATCCGGAGTCTAGATACCAAGAATCTCTTTCTGCTCCTTCTCCATCAGTCTTGGATATTAACATTATTGGTTTCGAATCTGATGTTTCATCTTAGGCAAGATTAACTTGATTCTTAGGTTTGTTCTTAGCCCCTTCTCCCTTTCAACATTCCTTGGCAAAGTGACCAAATTTCTGACAATTGTAACACTTTACCTTCCTTTTATCAAATTTTCCTTCTTTTTCATGATCAGACCTGCCACCATCTTTCCGTTTTCTTTATCACCGACTTGCTTCACCTTCTGATCTTGGGTTCCTTTGTAGTATTCTTCTTTTGACCACTCCTCTTGAACCTCTTTTCTTCACATCTGAGAACGAGCTTGTAGAACTTGATCTTGAAACTTTTTGCGTTCATTGAGTTTATGTTCATGTGACTCTAATGAATGTTGAAGTTCCTCCAACTCCATAACTTCTGTATCACGTGCTTGCGCTTCATCAATTACCACAATTATATGATCAAACCTTTGTGGTAATGATCTCAGAATCTTATCTGCAACATACTCGTCAGTGATAGAATCACGACACGCTCTCATGGCATTGACATGTTCCTGCACACTATCAAAGTAGTATGTTATCGTATCACCATCCTCCATTACCAAGCATTCAAACTGTTGTTGCAAGGTTTGCACCTTAGCTTTCTTGCTTCTTTCTCCATCCCTGTACGCTTTAACAAGAATCTCCCATATTTCTTTGGATGTATCAGCCTTTGAGATCCTATAAAAAATCTTTGGATTGAAGCACTGATAAAGAAGAAAATGTGCTTTGTTATCAAGCTTCTGGTGCACCTTGTAACTTCTCATTTCTTCATCAGTTACTTTGGGACCTGGTTTAGACAGGTCGAACCAGTGACGGATCTTCTTGGGAGCTGAGGGGGGCCATGACCCCCCCAAAGTTTTGTAACTTCCATGTAATTAATGATTTTGGTCCCCCCAAACATAATGAGTATTTAATATATTTACTTGTATATTTACAATTTTATCTTCTCAGCCCCTCTTCAGTTTTGTAACTTTCATATAATTTATGATTTTGTTTCCCTCAAACTTAATGATAATTTAATATATTTAAGTATATATCTATAATTTTATCTTTTCAACCTTTGATATTCTTTTTTTTATATTTATTTATTATTTATTAATAATATATTATTTGGCCCCCCAAGATCAATGATCAAGATCCGCCACTGCGTCGAACACTACATCTGCAACATCTTGGAAACTAAAGATAGCTTGCATCTTGATTTTCAGTCTTCAAACGCCTTCTCGTCAAAGACGGGCAACGTACCTGTTCCCTGCATTACTCCCCCTAGTTCAACCATGCACTCCTTTCTTGGTCCTTTCTTGATTAACCCAAACACTCACTTTTTCCTTTCTTGTGTTTATTGCACAAGAATACCTCACAGAGAAAAAGACTACATACTAAGATAAAAAACAAAAGCTCTTGATACCATATAGGAACCGAGAGGATAAAATGAATTAACAGGGAAAAACATTATTCAATGAGACTATATACAAGTTTTTATATAAAGGTAATAAGACCTTTTTTATACAGGCCAAAAATAGAAACTATAACGAAAATAGAAACTGCTCTAACTGTTTTAAAAATAGTAAGTGACACAAGAACAAAGTTGTATTTGACTTATATCTAATACATATAACACATCCAAATTAATCCAATCAATTTATTTATTTATTTGTTGAATTTATCTTTTTAAAAATATTTGAAATTATATTTTAAAATTTGTTTCACAAAAAATATTTTTGAATATATATATATATATATATATAATTTTAAATATTTATTTATATTCTTTTATGAATGAATGGTACTTCTCCTTCAATTGAAATTTTTTTAAAGCTTTTTAAGAAATATGATTGAATTAACTTAAATGAATAGGATTGAATCCTTTATGTTACTGAATTTTTAATATTAGTGAAAATATTTTATCCAAAACTATTATGATCCAATTAAAACTTATTCAATTCATCCTTTATCCAAAGCATTATTCAATGAGACTGTATAAAGTTTTTATACAAAGGTAATAAGACCTTTTTTATATAGGCCAAAAATAGAAACTATAACTTAAAACAGGAACTGCTCTAACTTTTTTAAAAATAGTCAGTGACACAAGAACAAAGTTGTATTTGACTTATATCTAATACATATAACACATCCAAGTTAATCCAATCAATTTATTTATTTATTTGTTGAATTTATCTTTTTAAAAATATTTGAAATTATATTTTGAAATTTGTTTCACAAAAAATATTTTTGAATATATATATAATTTTAAATATTTATTTATATTCTTTTATGAATGAATGGTACTTCTCCTTCAATTGAAATTTTTTTTAAAACTTTTTAAGAAATATGATTGAATTAACTTAAATGAATAGGATTAAATCTTTATGTTACTGAATTTTTAATATTAGTGAAAATATTTTATCCAAAACTATTATGATCCAATTAAAACTTATTCAATTCATCATTTTGTTATTCTTAATTTGGATCATAATGAACATTAGTTAAGAAATAAAATGAATAGTTTTTTCTTGAAAAAAATGTATGAAATATTTAATTTTTATGGATGATTGATAATTAATGGATTCTTATATTGATATCGAACATATTGAACTCTCTCTATATTAGCTTATTTGAGTATATTTATGTATTCTTTTCATATATATAGTGTGAATTTCAATATTATGCAAAAAGACTAAAAATATAATTGTCATTTTTTATATTGTGAAAAAAAAATCAAATTTATTATAATAACATTTAAATTATTATAATATATAATATTTTAATGTGTATAATGTTTATTCAATAGATCAGGCAACAAAAATAATATATAGAATCACATGTAGGGGAATGAAATCATAAGAAATAAAATGATGTTCCTATAAATTAAATTAAAGGTGAAACAAAAAGTTAATTTTCAACCATAAGTCATAAGAAGGTTAATATAATATTTTTAAAATCACTTTAAGAGAAAATAATAATAATAAAAAATGAAAAACTATATAATTATTGTAACAATGTACTGAATGAAGTAAAACGTGATACATCACAACATCATTTCATATATAAAACACCAAACAAACATTTTTGTAAAACTAAGAAAATAGAAAGAAAAACCTTAACTGTTGAAAATTATGTTATTTAATCAATACATGCTCTTAAGATAATAATTTTACAAATGTATTCAATGTTTATGATTGATTATATATAGTTTACAGAAGATTCAAAATCTAACCCGCAATTACAATTTATATATGAATCGATAATAATAAAAATAAAGATTATGTGACTGTAATAACACAAATTATTAATGATTTATAGAAATTACAAAGTTGATTTATAAAATAATATTATATTTCTATTTTAACTGTGGTTTTTATATTAACTTTATTTTTCTTGATTAAATTATTAAAACTTTTCTTTCAGATTTAGATTTATATATGTACTTATTTTTTATAATCAAGCTCTTCAATGTTTGATGAAGTATAATTTAAATAAAAATATTTTATTTTTGATCATTTTTATTATTCCGCAGATAATGTCATGGTTGAACGCATTTTTATAAACTTTAAAGAAAGTTTTTTATTTTAGATGATCATTAATTTAACATGAAATGTTGTACACATGTATTAAATTTAATTATTAATTATGATTTATTTATAATTACTAATATTATTGAAAATATTAGAGAAAATACAATTTATAGATATATAAAGATAAATAACTTTAAAGAACATGTGTTCAATCAAATATTTAATTTGATAAAGAAATAGTTATAAAGGTGGAATTCTTAATAATAAATAAAGTTTTGAATATAAAATGTTTTTAAAAATAAAATAAAAATTGATAATCTTACATTTTTAATTTAATAATAATAAAACAATAAAATAAAAAGTGGATGGTGCTTTATTAAAATATAGAAAATGTCTAATTTAATAAAAAAATATATTAAAGATACACACTTCACTATCCTCTGCTCTCTAGTGCAGACACACACTAGTTCGTTCTAGAAGGGTCCATTATCGTCAGATAAAACCCCTATCTCTCTAGTTAGGGTTTTATTATCTTCATTGTTTCATCTTTCAAGGCCACTTCTTCTTCACCCAAACCACTCTTCTTCTTCGCGTTCTCTAAGGTAATTAATTCCACTCTCTTTTCGCAATTACTTTTCTTTGCACTCATAAACTCTCAACACTTTTTGTGTTTTCGCTGATGATTTTGATTTGCGCAATGCAATTTAGTTCGAATCAATGGCCAGCGCTCAGCTCACAGCAATAGCGTCTTCAGTCTCTACAACCTCGTTTGAAAGGCTTCGGCCTTCTGCGTTTCAGACGGGCCGTGTGAGGATTGGGAATCTCCCCCAAAGGTCCTTCCGGGGTTTGGTTGTCAAAGCAGCCACTGTTGTTGCTCCTAAGGTATATATTTGTTTTTCTACTAATTCTTCTATATCTGTATAAAAAATGATGAATTATTTATTTGTATTGTTTTCAATGTGCTGAATCTCTAATGGTGAGTACAAGGAAGAGTGTTAGTGTAAGTTTTTAGATTTTTAACCAAGAGTCTGTATGATTAATAAAAATGAAGGAAGATTATTGCGGTATGTTTGGATAATCTTATCCATCAATATCCCGGGAGAAAATGTAAGAACTTTCCCATAAGTTGAAATAAATTAAGATTAGTTTATGTAAGATAATATAATATATATTATTAAGAGAAAATAATACAAAAGAATATCTATAAATTAGCTTATGAACAAACTCATTTTATTTTCTTCTTCTATAATACTTGTGTAAAAGTTTATCTAAACATATCTTTAGAAGAATTTCTTATTGTGTACTTATTTATTTATTTATTTATTTATTTTAATTAATTAATTAATTATAGCAAAATTCTTAAATTAAAGAATATCAACTCAAAATGAACAAAATTATATCTATTCTTCGTTTTTTTATTGCTTTTTTAATGAGCTCAAGTGTCTTGAGGGATTGGTAAATAATCAGTGGGATTAACACTTTGTTTGTGTATGCTTTGGTCTTGATATTAGTTTAGAACAATGACTTACCAAATTTTATTGTTTTCTCTTGTCTTTAATTTTGTTATGGACTGTCTTTGTAATTTAGTTATGGAACCAACTGCTATGTGTAAATTATGTAATTGTTGATTTTGAAGTACGGGAATTGTTTCAACAATTATTAGTTTATTGAATGAATCATTTGTGCTTTTATAATGCAATGTTTTATGTAACTGAGTGTTGGTTTAATGTGCAGTACACTGCAGTGAAGCCTCTGGGTGACAGAGTACTGATAAAAGTTAAGGAAGCGGAGGAGAAAACTGAGGGTGGGATTTTACTTCCCTCAACTGCTCAGACGAAGCCTCAAGGGGGTGAAGTGGTTGCTGTTGGTGAAGGAAAGACAGTTGGGAAGAAGAATGTGGATGTTAGTGTGAAGGTATGTTGCTGCTATGTTGGGAGGTCTTTAAACCTTTAGTGGCCTGTGTTTATTTTTCTGGGAAGGAGTGAGATTGTTTCTATTTGATGCTTATGAAATGTGTTGCCTTTGTGCAGACTGGTGCGCAAGTTGTGTATTCAAAATACGCTGGTACTGAGGTGGAATTCAATGGTACAAAGCATCTTATTGTGAAGGATGATGACATTGTTGGTATTCTAGAAACTGATGACATCAAGGATCTTAAACCCTTGAATGATAGAGTCCTCATAAAGGTATAACCTCTTTAGAGCTTAGCTTGGAGAGTTATATTAGATCATCTGGCAACTATGTTCATAATCATATAATGTAATTCTCTTGATGTATTTAGGTTCTACTCAGGTCATAAGGTTTTGTCAATCATGTCCAAATAAGAGCCGCATCTAAAGGCATTGTGTTCTTTTGAGAAGCATCAATGCTTGCACTTCTTTCATTCATCTGTACCCGATATTTAATAATGCTAACCATGTATAAAGTATCCAAACCTTTAAAAAAAGGTTATGAAACATCTAATATTGTCAACATGATTCTGAATTGTGGTTGGGGTTTCCTTGTGATCTTTGACATTATGGGAAATTGTAATTGATGAAGCTGCAATTACGGTTGAAATGATGCTCAACAAGGGACTGAGATTACTTTTAGTCCTACTTGTGGGCAATATGTAGTGATTTATGCTGGTAATGACTATGTAATTATTTTTATAGTAATGTTGAGTGTTTTTTTATTGTTTGATGAATTAGTATATCTAAATATGTATCCTGCATTTGACCACCTCAATTTATATATATATATATATCAAGAATTGAATTGCTGCGTCAGATACACATATCGAATATGATATTTATATTGTATCTGTGCAGCAGTGGTATCTGCATCTTATGGATGCCTGTGATAGTCTTGATGGTATCCTCAGATTGATTAAATATTGAGTGCAGGTTGCTGAAGCTGAGGAAAAAACTGCTGGTGGTTTGTTGCTTACAGAGGCAACGAAGGAGAAACCTTCGATTGGGACAGTAAGTAATCTTGTAATCCTATCATAGTTGTCTACTGTTTGAAAAGATAGTGTAGCTATGTCACTCATTAGGAGGATTATGCTCAGGCACAATTTAACTATACGTTTTTTTTGTTGAGTAACAATTTTACAAGTTAATAATGTTTTTGTAATATTTGGTATGTTACAGGTTATAGCAGTTGGTCCAGGGCATTTGGACGAGGAAGGCAACAGAAAACCATTGTCAGTGACTCCAGGAAACACAGTTTTGTACTCCAAATATGCTGGAAATGATTTTAAGGGCAAAGATGGTGACTATATTACCTTGAGGGTCTCAGATGTCATGGCTGTCCTCTCCTAGGAACAATGTGCTTGAATTTTGTAACTTAAAATTTTCGTTTTCATCTTGAGGAAAGTGGATTTTTTAAATGTAATGACATTGGAAAATATAGTTGATTGCAATCTGTTCCTTAGACAATATGCCATATCATTGAATTTGATGCACCACCTATTGAGTGAAGTTCTTAAATATTTTGGAATGTTTCTTAATTATTGTTTTAATCTTACAAAGAAAAAAATCAAAGGAAAATTTGGTGTACCTTTTACTGTTGAGTTAAGTTCTTAAATATTTGGAATTTTATCTTATTGTTTTAATCGTTGTAAAGAAAAAATAAAGGAAAATGTAGTTAATATTTTTAAAACATAAGGTAAGAAGGTTGCCGGAGTGGTGCGAATGGAAGTACGGTAGTGTTGTTCCACCATTGTTTGTGGATGATAAACTATTTAAGCAATTTGGAAGACCATTTGAATTTGAAGACATGGTCCTTGAAACATTGAGCTTACGTTCTTCACTATATAAGGATGAGACACTGCGATGAAAAGAGCAACCTTGTTTAACTCATCCGCAACACAGAAATCCATAATTAAGCAGTCTTCAATTGTAGCATTTTTGCCCGAATGATCACTACAAGTGGAAGAATGCAACCATTATAGAATATTCTGTCGGAGTTAAATTTCTTTGCCAATTACTAAACCTTTCTTTCACCGCAATTTATCAGTTAGACAAGTAAAATGTCGATGATAACCCCCCATATAATTCTGTAGTTCCATGATTACCTTTTACAAACACGTATCAGTCACCCAATATTTACTTAATTCAGGTCACCCTATAAGTAAAAGAAAAGGATAGAGACTGAGAGAGACTTACTATTTAGCTAAGTCCTCTTGATAGATTTGTTTAGTGTTTTGATAAAATAAGATAAGATGATACAATATGATGTTGCTTGCTGCACCAGGTATCTAACAAAATGATTGAAAGTTGAGTTAACTTAGGATTGCTGACTGGTATTTTAGAACTTGACATATTGGATTGAATTAAACCTAAATATAATATTACCCTTATCTATCCTTCTGATCTTCTTACCTAAGGAGGTAGTAGCACGTAACATCATTCAAGACACTTGAGATAGTGAACATTGTCGAAGTTGTCTCTTCAAGATATAGGCAAGAATTTAATTGCAAGCTCAAGCACATTACACTCAAAAGTGCAAATAAGTGAAGAACTGTGTTTTCTTGATCCACAATAATCTTCTCCATAATTTCCACCATTAAATCAACGAAGGTACTAGTACAAAAGCTTAGCAGTAGCAATTTGACATGTATTGTTGATTCTCCCTATCATCACTTGGTTACCTAACTTCTTCATCTAATTTTAACAACCACAAGATTTACAGAATCGTAAGTAAAACATTTTTATAAGGACAATACAATCATATATATTATACACCAGCTGACCTATATGGATTTACCTTTCCAAATAAAAAAAATAAAAAAAAATCCTAAGCTTGCACTAGCAGCCACAAGAAAAGCAGTTCCCAAGATAAAATCTGCATCTTTCTGGTAAAGGAATCTGGTCTTGGTCCATCCAGGGATCTAAACTTCTCTCTCACCATTAAAAACACGTGCTGATACTGAACCGGATGCATCTATGCATCAACATGTTCTACACTACCCCATCAACTGCATCTCGTGCAATGAATTTATCTCCTTTTCACTGGTGATATATAGAAGCACAAACAAGAAATTTTAAGGGTTAAGTTAGTCCTCCATGTCTCAAAATATACAAGTTGATGACTGCTCCAAAATGTCAACACTAGACATCCTTATCGATTAAACGAGGCTGCAGAGTTATCATCATACTGTCCCCTCCATGCATTGCCATTGTCTGTCCCACTACAAGCTTGATTGGGGACTGGAATATGACCTAAATCTCCATCCAAGCTCATTTGCTGTACCTCAGCAGATGACAATATCTTTATGCTCTGGACACAGCTTACAAATTCTCTGCAAGGAATTGCAACTTCAAGACTAAGAAAATATACCTGAATGGATGAAATAGCATGGACTACGAAATATTAGGAATTGACAACTTACTCCCAAGGGTCATCACCAACAAGAAGAATGTCGTTTTCATGATCTACGTAGACTAGTTTCCACTCTGTCCTTTGAGGATCTTCTAGCTGCCCTTCAATCCCAAACATCCGAGCCAAATCATGTCGGAGTTCATCATATCCCTTGTAACGGGTGACATCAATACATCTTCCAACAGAGCCACATTTTTGAACCTTTAAAATACGTGAAACAGTATCAAGCATTTGAATATCATCCAAAAAATCCATCACAAGTAATTGAGGTCAAAGCGTTTGAGGTTGATTTTTGGATAAAACTGCTGACCAGGAGTGACGGTTATGATTTAAGAGCAACCAACCCCCTCTTAATATAATTTAGTCCAACTATGAGCTGAAGATATAACTTAATAACAAAATAGACTCAAAGGGCAATAAAGGCTAACAAGTACTACAAAAGTGCAGCTTATAATTTTATTGATCATTCAGTGAAGTTTGCGCATAACTTTGATTTCAAACGAGCACATTCAGATTTATAAAAAGATAAGACCGTTGGACATGATTGAATTGCACAGAAAATCATTAGGCAAATTCATCCAGTTAGGATGGGGCCATTGAGGCAAAATCATGACTGTATCGGTGTCATGCTAAAAATATTACCTTAAGCTTACTGGATAAGAAACTGAGAGCCTTCATCTAGGATCAAGAGTTGAACTAAGAATTTCAGACAATACCAATAAAACTATAAAGGAAATGCATCTGATCATGAACATCTCACATAATATTAATAACAAAATGATGTTTAAGTTACACTATTTAATAATTGTATGACATCCCTATTTCTGTGTTTCATTAAACATTACGACACCATATATGCTCAGAAAATATATTAACTTTAAATAGGTGTATGAATTTTTCAACGAATGAGTAAATAACAAACCTTAGTATATGTTCGCATTCTTTGAGTCTGATTAGCCCACAAGCCATTATTCAAAACCCCAGGATCATTGATGGCAATATCACTGGAGCATCCAGGCTTAAAAGGCATGTCTGGCACCCCAAATGGCTGTGAACTAATGGCAGCAGTGGACAGCTCAGTTTCAATGTCTCTTGGAGCACCACCATAATTAGACAGCAAGTTTTGAAGATCTTTTTGAGAATCATACCCTCTTGAGAGTAAAGTATCTGGCGTTAATCCATCAAGATTAGAGGCAAATGGAAGATTATTTCTTGGGTGTGATTGAACATCCCCATCCATGCAGAAACTGGGAAGTGGGAAGTTCTGGGGGATATTATTAGGATCAATACAGTAAGATGTTCCAGAAGAAGCTTCCATCTGGTCAGCAATTGTCCCTTTGTACTTCATCTGGTCAGGTCCTCTTACACTGGGTAATTCGTGTTTGATCTGCATCTCAGACTTGCTATGAAGCTCCTGCATCAAATGATTGGTGGGTTCAACTACTGAAGGTCCTCCTAATGTGGTTGGCACCTGTTGATTTCTTTTCATCAAATTTGAAGGAGATATCTGGCAGTTATTAGTAGATGGTGAAGTTGAGCATGATGGGGCATCTCCTTCTGTAAGAGTTGAAGGAGCTCTAGTATTAGTTAATGATTTCTGTGTATTATGAGGTTGGTTCACAGGAAGCTGCTGTGTTTGCATCAGAGACGAAGAAGAGTAGTTGTTGCCATTGAAAAGCTTCTCCATTGAGAAAGCATTATTGCCAAGCTGCTGAGGTTGATGACATTGTGATAAAGGTAGCTGCGGTAAGTGTTGGTTTTGTTGATGAGTATTTTGTTGTTGTAGAAGCTGAGACTGCAAAAGTGGACTAGAAGTGGAAAGGAGTTGCTGTTGCTGCTGCTGTTGTTGCTGCAATTTCTGTAGCAACTGCAACTGTGGTTGCTGCTCTGAGCTGTTTTGCTGTGACATTTGAGTCATTTGTGGTTGCTGTGGTGCCCTCTGTGACAGGCTTTGTTGCAACAACTGCAATGGAGATGATTGCAACTGTGTCTGTTGTTGTTGCTGCCTCTGTACGAGACTAGCTTGCTGGTCTATTTGTTGCTGAAACTGTGAGTCTTGTGGTAAGGATGTCATCAGCAATGTATTCTTATTGGGCGATTGAAAACTTTGTTGGGGTGGGAGAGTTCCTGAGAGTAACTGCTGTTGCTGAAGCTGGGAGTATGTCACTGGTTGCTGCACACACTGATTTGGAATCTGGTTAGAAGCAATTGCCCCACTATTCATGATGGTCTGTTGACATGACTGCTGCTGCTGTTGTTGTGGCATTTGTGCTCTCTGTTGAGGCATTTGGGGCTGTTGTTGCTGTGGTTGTGACAGGTTTTGCAGTACAGGCTGCTGTTGTTGCCTCTGTTGCTGCTGTTGGAGGGAATTTAAGGGTGTTTGCATTAATGATGGAAGCTTCTGCTGTTGCTGCTGCTGAGGAGGCCATGACGTTGGGGATTGTTGCAATTGGTTGACTTGGTTTGGTAAATTTGGTTTGTTAAATGGTAGATTTGGTGCAGAGAGGACAGGAGCTTGAAAGTTCAATAATTTGGATGGATCATCAGTGGGAAGGTTACCATGCAGTGTATTGGATGAAAGCATGGATGGGGGTATAAATCCTGATTGGGCAGCGGACAACTGATTATTCTGCTGCATGCTCATCCATTGCACCAAACTCAAACCAGGAAAGATTGAACTCGAGGCGTCCTTCATTCCAAGGTCATCTCCAAGCCAGGGCATAGCTCTCTTGAAAGCATTTTCTATATCAGACTCATCATCTGCAAAATAAAAAACAAGCAAAAACATCTGTTACAACCAATGAAAGGACAACAACATGCAAGTGATAAAAAAGGACAGGCACTATAGGGATTTCCTGAATGCTACTCTTCGATAAAGCTATTAGATGTGAGATTGTACTTTCGTCACAGAAGAAACTTGATTTCATGTAATAGAATTAATGGAAGCAATGAGAAATTTCTGAATAAAATTTAAACTTGTTATGGTGGGTACTCTTGCTACCTGGCATTCCTGGTTGCTTGGGGAACTTTGGCCTAAAAAATGGAGGTGGACAAATGTAGAAAGGAGTCACTACTGGTTCAATATCCCAAATTGAAACTCTGCTTGGGCGCTCACCAGCCGTTGATTCATCCCATCCAACCTATCATAATTCAAAACATGACTTTCTCAAGAAGCTACAGTAGCTACAGTAGAGGTTCGGTATTGATTACATTACAGTTGAGCAGATGATCATGCAAATGTAGATTATAGGACACTCAATGCATGTTTAAGATTAACTTTCGAGTTTTTTTTTTTTTCCTGGTTCATGTCAAGCTATACAAATAATGCATCTCTTTTGATAATACCTGTAGATTGCGCCACTGTGAATTCTTCCATCTGACAGGATCCAAGTCACTTATCCCAGTGATTGTACCCATATATCTGCGTACACCTGACTCCTCGGTCTCAAACATCATTCTGAATCTCATTCCAAGGGAAACTTGATTGTAGAGGGCTTTATTATACTTAGCTAATGGAATTACAAATTCAGAGGGGCTGGCCCTGTTAAATTGACAGATTACTATTAGAGGCTGTCATAAATATTTAATGGATGCATTCCATGTTATCAAATAATAGCAATTACATGCCAAATACGTATTGCACCTTGGATTATAAAATATAGTAAATGGGCTGTTATTTGAAGCAGCATGAGCTGCAGCAGCAAGAATGCCAATATGCATGCTGTCACTGGATATTACTGATGAAGATAGTGCTGGCTGCTGTCTGTTAGCTCTCTTTATACCTAAAAGAAGTTGTTGTTTTTCATCCCTGAACATAACCAAAAATAATTGACTAAGCAACTGGGTGAAAATTATTCCAAAAGTTTCAAATAAAAATTTTATGACTTACCTGATAAAAAGAACTGAATCTCCAGCAAACAACCTTTTTGTGCTAACAAAGACACTCCAACCGGTCGTCAATAGATGCCTCTTTGGCTGTCCTGTAATCAATGTTCTAGAAAATTTAGCATTCAACCATGTAAATCATCAAATTATACTCAAGTTCTATATTCAAATTTGGTCAAACTTATTATACATTTTCAATGTTGATAATCCTAGAATTTTTTCTACGATAAGTTTAGTTTAAGCCATATGAGGTTGTATCTTTGTGTTTTAGATAACAATGAATCCTTTTGGGGAAGCAATACGGCATATACAGGTAGAAACAATGATAGTATAACAAAGGATGAAGGCAATGAAGGATAGGTAACAGTTGCTATACCGCGATAAATATGTCTAAATATCCATGTACTGTCATGCAAATCTTTGGAAACAATCTCCTGAGCTGGAGGTTGCATTGAAAAATCCTATCAAACACACTAATCAGCACAAAAAGATCACATAAAAACTCCAACCCTTGTCAGGGTAAATGAAAATATTAAATACACACCAGAGGCGGGAATATTTTCTCAGCTGCCCTACGGGGCACAGAAAATCCACCATGAGTGCTTGTATCACTAGCTGTAAGAGTTTTGCAAAAGAACTCAGTAGGTTGTTGGTTTTGTTTGAGACCCATGTCAGATGCCACTAATGCTTCCTTGTCATACTGTAGAACAGTTACATCAAACAGAGTCTTAGATAAGTTTCATACCATTGATCAGGATAGATGTTCAAGGAATAGTGGGAAATATATATCTCAGATACGTATCAATAAATTAGCTGATTGAACAGCTGACCTACTTTATTAACAGGTTGAAGTGTCATCTGCGCATAGACCTCATCCGTTTCAGGATCAGCCTGATCCAAAACAGAAAAATAATTATCAATATATGTATTGTGCAATATTCACGAAAGAAAAATCAGAAAGGGCCATCATATCACATGCTTGAGAAATTCTAAAGATGATGTTTCAAGCTATCCACCCAGTTTGGTCTTATAACTAATGTATGGATGAGGTTGCAAATGAAGAAACAGAAACACAGCTTGCAAGTCTTCAGCTCCAAGATTTGGTAGATGAAAATCGACATAATTCATAATAAGATATGTCATGCAGAGATGTCACCCTTTTTCTTCAAAAAAGAACATTAGTTTATCCTAAATTCCTGGTGACTAACCCAGATCCGAAAAAAGTGAAAGAAGTTGAATAATTAGTAGACGCACCTTCAAGGAAAACAAATTTCAGTAGAGATGGAAAACATTTATCTAGTCTTCTAATTTTATTTTTTTAACATATATTCAAAACTTGCCAAAACAGGTAAGTGCACCTACGTGAAGAGCAACATTGTGAAGCATGCAAATCAACTTCGATGGAAGGTTAGGGTAACTGGGAACGAAATCAGCCTCCTTTTGCATGGATGCTGCAACCTGAAATTCATATGTAGTCAAAAGAAGCTCCTTCAGAAACCACAAGGACGAAATATCATGATCTTAAAATTATGGCGTAAGAAACATACTTGCTCACTGTGTCCTTGAGGAAAGTAAACCACAAGACTTCCAACAGGAGGTAAGGAAACCAATGGTCCAGCACAAGCATGCCATAACTCTGAATTGATGGTCTTCCTCTCCCCTGTAACAGACACAGACATTTTTTTCACAATTATTCCATTCTTCCGGAAACGCAAGAAAAAAAATGCAGATTTCCCAGGATTTCAAAATTCAGTTACACAAGATTTATATCAAGCACATTTGGATTTGGAGTTTACAACCATGAAAGTTTATCTTAAAGTAAGAAAATACTAAAAGGTTACAAAAAATGAGGGATGAAATGCAACAACAAAAAAGACAGATTAATATGCCAAGTTATCACTTTTATTTAGGCCACACGGAACAAGGAAGCATCTCAAGGAGAAGAGGGCTAACAAAACAACTCCACAAAATTAACCAAAAGATCAAATTTAAAGTCAGATGAGCAATGCCAACATCCCTTCAGTACGACATACTCATATTTATTAATCGATCTACGATGGTATTATGTGGATTCAATAATATAAAAGAATTATTTTCCTTGAAAGTACTCATTCTCGGAGTCCTTAAGCAGTGTTAGTGTTTGATGAAACAGGAAAACACTACCAAATACTCACAGATGGGGAGAGAGAGAACATAATGAGGCTTCAAATAAAGGTTGACAAAAAGTACCTTCGCCAGAATTAGGCATGTAGCCATTTGGAGGAGCCTTCATTACCACCTGTAAAAGTGATGACCCCAAACAAGTTCAACACTCTTCTTCCTGAAACAAGATTTAACCTTGTTCCAAAAGTCTGGCCCAATAACAACAATTCTAACTCCAACTCATATTCCTAAACAAGCAGCAACACTTCCCCAGCAACAAACAAGAAGATGCGGAACCCCCTCCGATGCCTACCACAAAGTTCTCCAATAACATCGAGCAAAATCAATAAAAAGCTCACCCCTTTCCCCAGAAATGCCTCTAATTGTTGCCTTCAACCCCACAAGTTTCAAATTCCACAACAAGCAGAACCTCAACACAAAGCCTCCACTTTCTGAATTCCCTCCAACAACATCCAAGGACTCAATGGAATTCTGTTACACCAAGAACCAACACTTCAACCCCCCAAAACAAGAACCTTGCAGCTAAAACCAAATGAAGCTGAGGGTGACCCAGAAGCCAAAACCTGCAAAGCACACCACAGCACAACAACCATTTCAACAGTGACACCAACCAAACAAAAAGGCCCTCAAAAACTGATCCCCAGATAAAAACAAATCAAAATTAATCACCTTCAAGGCACCACACTCATCAGCAGCATCTACAAGCCCAGAGAATTAACCAAAATGGAAAGGCAGGAAATGGGAACTACACTTCGTGTGGATTAAGGTAACAAGGTGATGTCTAAAGGACCAAAGTTGAGAAAACTGACTTGTCGCCGAGAAATCAGATGGGCTGAACAAAAGGAAGACAGCTTTATTTTTGGTGCTTTATGTGAACAAGCCGACATGAAATATAGACTAAAGCGATCAATCACAGACAGGCCTGGTTAAAAGAACTCATTAAAGAAGTAGGGTATTATTGATTAAAAAATATATAAAAATAAATAAAATCAAACAAGATTAGCATTGCTTAATTGCATGACATGATCGTGTTTTAGACAATATTCCCTCCCGTGGTTAAAATTTGGGCCCCAAAGCCACCTTACATTCCACTCAAATTTTGCATTTGGGGTGGTGCTTTTCTTAAAACAATAACCACATCACTACTTCACATATTTTCATTCCAGTAATTGAACATATATATGGGGAGGTTAGGTAATTTAAGATACATCTTAAATTCAAACCTTAATGATACAAAAATTCAAACTTTATCATACACGGACAAAGAAAAGAAGAAGTAAATGAATATAGCCTTACATTTAAATCTTATTGTCACATCACTGTACATAGGAAAAAAAATGAGTAGTTGAATATAGGAGCTATTATATTAAGAATTTAACAATTATGTTACAGCTGATTTTAAATAGTTACCATATACAAATAGTAAACCTATCACGTTATAAAATTTGTGCTTGAATCATTGTATACAATGTATTTTAACTGAATTCATATATTAATATCACAAGTTGGTTAAAAAACTCTTGCAATTTTCGTATTGAGACAATTTATTATATATGTAAAGTAATTATGTTAAAGTCTTCAAAATAATATAAAACTTTAAATCACTAATTAAGTTTGAAGAATTCCTGGTGAATTATTTAAGTTTTGTTTTCAAACCATGGCAAGAAGTGCTAGACTAGGGTGGAGTAAATTTTGACTTATTATTATTTTGAAGAGAAAGTGTTAAGTAAAGAGTGATTGGTATAAGAAAATTAGATTAAATAAGATTTTTTTTTCTTAAAAAAAAAGTAAAAAAAAAACTTTTATGACGTTATATATATTTTATTTTTCACATATATTAAGAGAAAAAAAGTAGAATGTATTTTCCAAAATTACTTATTTCTCATTTTTAAAATAGATGTATGAATGTCTTTCTAATTATCATGTATTAAGTATAATTTATTTATTTATTAAATTTTTTTAAATATACCTTGCTTTTTATACCACATTCTCCTTAAAAAAAAACTCATTTTATTTTATTTTTTTCTTTCTTCATATTTTTTTACATGGGATTAGTTTAGTGAAAAAAAAAGTCATTTTTATCATTAATAATGTGCAACCCAGTTATTTATTATAATGGTGATATAATGAGAAAAAACATACAGGAGGCAACTTAATTTATTATTACAATAATTATAAATTATTTTTTTTAAAATTATTATAATTATTAAATAAAATTGTTGAATAAATGTTTGTTAAAAAATTGAGTGTAAATCAATCTTTTCCCTGTTTATTAAGCAAAAGTATACTTGTCATTGTTGAAGTTGGAAATGATAAAATATTAATAAAAAAATATATATATAATTGTTTCTGGTGAAAATTTGATTGATTTCGATTTATCGGGAGTTAGGTTCTAATCAAATCTCAACCATGTAGATTCTTTTTACTTAGGCTAGCAACTAGTTTTCAATCGAAAAATGCATGAGAATCGATAATCTTATAATGTAGAACGGCATGACCTAGAGTACATATTTTTTATGTTTTTCTTAAGAAATGCGAAGTAAAAGAAGCATTGAATCGAAAAGTAGTGCGGAATATTAAATTGCAGGGAAATGTAAAAAACGGAAACCTCAAAATTTCATTAAATGTAAATAGCGATAAATCGAAATTGCAGGAATGTAAATAACAGGAAATCGAAATTGCAGAAATGTAAATAACAGGAAATTGCATAGGTGTAAATAGCGAAGAACTTAAACGCAAAATCCCAACTTACATAAAAGTAAAATAACAAGGAATTGAAAGTGCAGAAACTTAAAGTTGATAAACGTAAACTTGCATCAAATTAAATTGCATGAACATAAATTACCAGGGAAAGTAAAGAAAGCGATACAGACAATCAATGAAAATGGAAACCCAGATCGCCAGAAACTTCATGATTCGTCGTTCTCCGGTAGACTTTTTCACTTATGTTTCTGTTGTCTCTGCCAATTTCCCCTTTGTTTTTCAAGTTTTCGCTCTATTTATAGAGCATCCTTCAAGTAACTTCCTAAGAGTAGTTAATAAAACTGTCACCACGATCCTACGTGCACGTCCCTTAGTCTTACAGTTTAAAAACTGCATTCCACGTTCTCACGCATAAGAGAACTGCTCCCTTGATCTTCGATCTCAGCCACGGTTTAGGAACCATTTCCCATGTTCCATGTGTGTGTTAACCACTCCCTCGATCTCGATTTCAGACATCGAGTATTTTGAATTGCTTTTGATTTTAATTCTTAACTTTGCACTATTCTAATTTTTCGATTCTCTTCAACAATAGACATCGAAATTTGTTTCTTCGATTCTCGATTTTGATTTTCGATGTGTTTTTATCTTTGTGGTCACCAGGTGTCTTTTACCAGTCTTATCAATTTTTTAACCAACTATATGATTTTCGATTTTCTCTCTCTGGTTCTTTCGATCCTGGTATCGATTTTTCTTTTACTAACAGATGCCCCCCTGGAAGAATATCAATTTTTTATATTCTTCCAAATATGATTCCCGCCCTTAATCATTCCTGAAAACTCGAGATAACTCCTTGGGACTTTTAGGGTTTCCAGGGTTTTAGGGTTTCTGGGTTTTAGGGTTTCTGGGGTTTTAGGGTTTCTTCATTTATGTTACCTGTCACATCACTTTTGCTGTTACACTTTTACCTACTTTCCAATTCGCCGTTTCGCATACCCTACCCGCTTCTTGAAATACTTTATAAAAAATTTTACCCCTGTTTTTTACCACAAACCTCACTTTTCCCTCATTTTCCTGTCTTCATCTTCAACCTTCCGTCTTCCTCTTCTCTTTCGGCTGAAATGGCAACCACCTCAAAATCTTCTGATTTCTCTGCCTCACCACTCTCCTCGGTGACCTCTAACCTGATAGAAATTAATGGGAGAAAATTTGCTCCAATGCCTTTGATGGAGAAAGCTTCACAGAGGATCGCCGAAACCCAGGTACTTATTCCTTACATTACTGAAAATGTAAGTTATGCATTTGGTGGTCCTATCCGCTACTGTGGCGGATCATTTTCCTCTTCCCTCAATCTTTCTTCAGAGAACAAGGCTCCTATCCACCAGTCTGAGGTTCGAGTTGATTTCCTAAATAGTGTATCCAAAGTATACCATACGGGCCCTCCCCACAAAAAAACCCTTGTATATTAGGTGGTTTGATCGAGTAAAAACCAAGTTTGGGAACCATTGGAGAGATGTGGGGATCTTCGATTTCCTGCATCTGTCTCGATGTGATTTATCTTTTTTAGATATGACTATGTTCTTATCAGTTGTCCATCTTTAGAATAAGGACCTGCATGCACTGGAACTCCCTTGTGGTCCCCTTTCACCCACCCTTTTCGAAATCGCTGCAATTACCAGATTAAAGCCCACAGGGGAGAAGTATTATAAGGGTGCTTTCCCTTCGGATAATTCCTTAAGGTCCAAAATCGATTGGGAATCGAAAGCCTATGGGCACTTTCTCGAGAAACATTTTATCGATGATCCAACAGTGGCTGTTTCTGACGAGGAGCACGTGGCCTTCTTGGTATACTGGCTTTGCACCCACGTTTTTTGCCCTCGATCCATCCAAATTTCAACCCACCTTTATAACCTTGCCTACCTCCTTCACACTGGGCAACCAAGGATTTGTCTGGCAAAATTATTATTGGCCCATGTTTACACTTCTTTCGATGAAGCCGTCGAAATTTTGAATACCCCCAGGGCTTCAGGGAATTTTTCAGGTCCTATTTGGTTCATTCAGTTATGGCTCACTTCAATTTTTGAAAGTATTCTCTCTCCAACCTCCAACATTCTCCCAAGTTTAAATTTGGAAGGTGCTCGATTGTCTTCTTGACATCCTCACCACAAACCCGACGAGGCTACTTATCGCAATTACCTGAGATTCTTATTATCTCGATTCCATTTTGATTCAATTTTGGCCCCCTTCACCGTGTATCAAGGGAAAGTAAGTGACAGGCTTCGAGGGCCAGCATGGTTTAAATCCAAATTCCCTGCCTTAACTCCCGGGTTACAATCAGAGCTGGTCGACGTGTGGAGTAATTATTTAACCCAAGACGTTCTGGTATCGGGTTTTCAATCAAAGGACCTTCAGCTTGTTACTTATTATCCTCAACTTTTCTCGAGACAGTTTGGTTTGAGTCAAGCCTTACCTTTTTTCCCCCTCGATACCTCCTCAAGGTACAAATTAAGTGAATCAACTGTTGGACGGGAGCTCGCCAAATTGCTGCCGAAAAACCCGATGCATTTTTACCTTTACGCTTTTGAATCAAATTATTTATCTACTCTTGGTTTTTCTCAGTGGTGGACCGATTGGTTCTCAAACATTCATTCTAATTTTGACATTGTCCAATCAAAATTGACTGCTCGTCCTTCTCTCGTGTTGCAGGACAAATCGAAGGCGAAGAAAGGTACATACTCTCACTATATCCAAATATCTCGATTCGAAATTTTTTATCGAGCATGCTACAATCCCTCGAAATTAGAAGAGACCTTTTATGATGTTGTTATTTCCTTAGTCAATAAAATAGACACTAACCGATCGAACCACAAAATAATCAATCCTCGAGGCAAAATCAATTACATCTTGTTGATCGATATCTTTTAATGGAACTGCTTCTACCCATTTTGAAAAATAATCGACAGCTACGATTATATATCTATGTCCCTTCGATGACTGTGGAAAAATTTGTCCGATTAAATCAATGGCCCAACCTCTGAAAGGCCATGGTTTGATAATCGAGTGTAGTTCGCTAGCTGGAACTTGTTGTATAGGATCAAACTTCTGACATTTTTCGCAGGACTTAGCATACTCGATGCAATCTTTTAAAATCGAAGGCCAGTAATATCCTTGTCGAGTTAACGTCCATCTCATCTTCTGTCCTGTCATATGAGCACCACATATTCCATTATGTACTTCAGCCATTGCTAAGTAGGCATCGTCATTCCCTAAACATCTAAGTAATACTCCATCGATACTTCTTTTATATAATTCATCATTCATTATAACGTATTTTACTGCTCGATATTTAATTTTCTTATCGACTCTTCCAATTGGATTTTGCAGATAGTCTATAATCGATTTTCT